ATGTTTAGGGCTCCCAGGTTGCCATATATAATCGAATTACTTGTTTTTTTGGGGTCTTTGTTCTAAGAGGGTCCACCAGCAGCGTCTGACTACTCTGCCATCTTGGCCCCACCTCTCATCTATCTTTCAATTAAATGCATGTTATTTGTCCGTGACTGCTGTGCTATAGGGCTCTGGTAATGAACAGGACTGGGCACCAGTACTCATGCCCATAGGAAGAGGTAGGTAATGTAGTGTGGGCAGAATGTAAGACAAGAATGTGGCAGGGACTGGCATATTGGAAAGTCCAATTTCAAGGGCCAGTAATCTAAAATATTAAAATGCCATGACAAATTAAACTTGGTGACAAAATATGGTTTTGCAAGCCCTTAACACGTGAACAATGTACACAGTGCATGTCTACCTGAAATTTGTATTTTGGTGGAGAAGTTAAAAGTTTTCATCTACAAACTGTGTGATGGACAAATAATTCAACCTCTGAACCGTGTTATGCATCTGTGAAGTAAGAATTATGACAATCCATTAATGCCCACCCACATCTTTATACTGGAAGTTGAAGGCAGAGCCATTAGACAAAAAAAAAAAAAAAAGACATCCATATTGGAAGTAAAACTATACACAGATGACATGACCCGTATATAGAAAATCCCACAAAATTCACAAGAAATCTACTAGAGCTAATAAATGAACTCAGCAAAGTTGCAGGTTACAAGATCAACACAAAAATCACTTGTGTTTCTATATACCAGTAGTGAAAAACCAGAAAAGGAAATTAAGAAAGCAATTCCATTTCCAATAGCATCTAAAAGAATACAATACCTAGGAATAAGTTTAAACAAGGAGGTGAAAGACCTGTAGATGAAAACTACAAAATGTTGCTGAAAGATCACCTAAATAAATAGATCTAGAGTCTCAAAACACAACCACAAATTTCCAATTAAAAAATCACTTATTATACCAAGAACCAAGAAAATTTCAAGTTGGATGAGTAAGACAACCAACAGATGCCAATGCCAAAATGAAACATCTTAGGATTATCTGACAAGAAGTTTAAAGCAGCCATCATTAAAATGCTGCAGTGAACAATTACAAACTCGCTTGAAACAAATGCAAAAAAATCTCAGCAAAGAAATAGAAGATACAAAAGAGAACCATGTGGAAATTTTAAAACCGAGAAATAACCAAAACAAACCTCAATGGATGAGCAGAGAGAACAGGAAAGAATCAGTACTTCTGAAGATATTAGGCGCCCTTGAGTCAGACAGAACAACAGAAATTATCCAATCTGAATAACAGAACATAGACTGAAAAATGACCACAGGGTCAGGGAACTGGGAGACAAATGATCTCACATCCATGCCATTGGAGACTCAAAGAGGGCAGAGCTGAAAAAGAATTTGAAGAAACAAGGGCTGAAAAATTCCCAAATTTTGCAAAAGACAAACTTGCAAGCTGTTGTTAGTTGCCTTCAAGTAGGTTCCGACTCATAGCAACCCTATGTACAACAGAACAAAATACTACCCAGTCCTGTGCCATCCTCGTGATTGTTGGTTATAGCTTGAGGCCATTGTTGCAGCCACTGTCAATCCATCTCGAAGGTCTTCTGCTTTTTTGCTGAACCTCTACTAAGCATGATGTCCTCCAGGTACTGCTCCTGCCTGATAACATGCCCAAAGTATGTGAGATGAAGTCTCTCTCACCATCCTTGCTTCTAAGGAGCATTCTGGGCTGTACTTACAAGACAGATTTTTTTATTCTTTTGGCAGTCCGTGGTGTGTATCGTCAGTATTCCTCACCAACACCATAATTCAAAGGCGTCGGTCCTTCTTTGGTCTTATTCATTGCCAAACTTCCACATGCATATGGGGCAACTGAAAACACCATGGCTTGAGTCAGGCGCATCTTAATCTTCAAGGTGACCCCTTTGCTTTTTAACACTTTAAAGAGGTTGCAAACAAGACTGTCATCTGCATAATGCAGGTTAATGAGTCTTCCTCCAATCTTGATGCCCTGTTCTTCTTCATATAGTCCAGCTTCTTAAATTTGCTCAACATACAGATTGATAAGTATGGTGAAAGAATACAGCCCTGACGCACACCTTTCCCGACTTTAAACCATGCAGTATCCCTTTGTTCCGCTCAAATGACTGCCTCTTGATCTATGTACAGTTCCTCATAAGCACAATTAAGTGTTCCGGAATTCCCATTCTTCACAGTGTTATCCGTAATTTGTTATGATCCACAGTCAAATGCCTTTGCAGTCAATAAAACACAGGTAAACATCTTTCTGGTATTCTGTTTTCTGCCAGGATCCACCCGACATCAGCTATATCCCTGGTTCCACATCTTCTTCTGAATCTGGCTTGAATTTCTGACAGTTCCCTGTCAATATAGTGCTGCAACCGCTTTTGAGTGATCTTCAGCAAAATTTTACTTGTGTATGATATTAATGATATTGTTCGGTAACTTCTGCATTTGGTTGGATCACCCCCACTTGTCTGTCAGTTTGTTGTACTGAAGGGGTTTGCATGTTGCTGTGACGCTGGAAGCTACGCCACTGGTATTCAAATACCAGCAGGGTCATCCATGGAGGACAGGTTTCAGCTGAACTTCCAGATTAAGACAAACTAGGAAGGAGGACCTGGCAGTCTTTCAGAAAATAATTTTCCAGTGAAGACCTTATGAATAGAAGAACATTGCAAGATGAGCCCCTCAGATTGGAAGGCACTCAAAAGACAACCAGGAAGAGTTACCTTCTCAAAGTAGAGTTGAGCTTAATGACACGGATGGAGTCAAGTTTTCGGGACCTTCATTTGCTGATGTGGCAACATTCATAATGAGAAGAAACAGCTGCAAACATCCATTAATAACTGGAACGTAGAATGTACAAAGTGTGAACCTAGAAAAATTAGAAATCATCCCTTTTGGTTTTCTATCTCCAGGTCTTTGCACATCATAATATTTTACTGTCTTCTTGAGATACCCTTTGAAATCCGTTCAGTTCTCTTACTTCATCATTTCTTCCTTTTGCTTTAGCTACTCGACATTCAAGAGCAAGTTTCAGAGTCTCTTCCGACATCCATTTTGGGTCTTTTCTTTCTTTCCGGTCTTTTTTAATGACCTCTTCTTTTCTTCATGTATGATGTCCTTGATGTCATTCCACAACTCGTCTGGTCTTCAGCCATTACTGTTGAATGCGTCAAATCTATTCTTGAGATGGGTCTCTAAATTCAGGTGAGATATACTCAAAGGTCATATTTTGGCTCCCGTGGACTTGTTCTAATTTTATTCAGTTTCAACTTGAACTTGCATATGTGCAGTTGATGGTCTGTTCTGCAGTGTGCCCCTGGCCTTGTTCTGAGGATTTTGAGCTTTTTCATCTTTTTCCACGGATGTTGTTGATTTGATTCCTGTGTATTCCATTTGGCAAGATCCATGTGTATAGCTGGCATTTGTTGGTGAAAAATGGTTATTTGCAACAAAGAAGTTGGCCTTGCAAAATTCTATCACGTGATCTCTGGCATTGTTTCTGTCACCAAGGCCATATTTTCCAACTACTGATCCTTCCTAGTTTCCAACTATCATGTTCCAATCACCAGTAATTATCAATGCATCCTGATTGCACATTTGATCAATTTCAGACTGCAGAAGTTAGTAAAAATCTTCAATTTCTTCATCTTCAGCCTTAGTGGTTGGTGCATAAATTTGAATTAACTCATAGATTACTGCTCTTCCTTGTAGACATATGGGTATCATCCTATCATCGACGGCGTTGTACTTCAGGATACATCTTGAAATGTTTTTGACGTGAATGCAGTGCCATTCCTTTTCAAGCTGTCATTCTCTGCAAAGTAGACCATATGATTGTCCAACTCAAAATGGCCAACACCAGTCCATTTCAGCTAATGCCTAGGATATCAACATTTATGTATCCCATTTCATTTTTGATGAATATCCAGTTTCCTAGATTCACACTTCATACATTCCACATTCTGATTCATGGATTTTTGCAACTGTTTCTTCTCATTTTGGGTGTGACACGCCTCACTCCACTATATCCTGTTCTCTGATCAGGATTTCTGAACTCTTTTTGTAACTGTATGGGACCACAGATATGTGGTCAGATGTTTCCTGAATGGACGTTATGCAGCGAATGACTGTATACTATAGTATATAAGGCAGTACTATAGTATATAAGGCAGTTAAGGTCAAGTCCTTTTAAGTATTTCAACTGGGAAACTCAATTCAGGGATTACTCTTAGACATCCTCTGCACTGGGTACCCTGATGTTATTTACAGGAAGCAAGAGTAAAGGAACCAAGGGACCAAAGGAACTTTATGCAACATACCAAATCAAGACGTGTTCTTCAAATATAGACTACTGTTCCAATTGTGCCTTACATACATTAATTTATATTCATAACTGAGGTAACTAAATTTTCCTGTTTTACAGATAATACAGGGAGGCACAGAGATTGACTTTCCAGCGTCATAAGCTAACAAGGGCTAATGTGAACCTAAGCACTTTGGCTCTGTAGTTGGGACTCTCAGCAACAAATAAGGATTTGTAGTATGATCTACAAATCTGCTTGAATCTCTCAGGCTTAACTGCATTAAAAAACAAAACAAAACAAGACTATGGCAAGACCTAAGCCTAAGGATCCCAAATGGATCAAAAGCTGTCTTATTACAGTCATTTGATATTGCAGACTTGACTACACTCTGGACACTCTTGTCACTATCACTCCTGAAAAAACATAGGACCTGAAGCCATTTGAAAACTCCACTAAGGCAGAAACCAGAAAGCACCACTTCTCCTGTAACTTGGTTCCATTACATTTAGCCCAGAGAAGCAAGGGACAAGTCCCAATTTTGACAATCCCTAAAATGAAAACAAAGCTAAGTATTTCCAAAGACTTAAGAACACCTCCTCCAAGAAGAGTAATGTATATCCATTCTTTCAAGTGATAGGTAGGAAGAAAATGCAGATTCATATAAATTTGATAAGCACAAAAGTTTATTCTGAATAAATCATCTTATACAGTAATTACTGAAAAAGATGTCCTTTAGTTTACTTAACTAAATACTTAAACTATTCAACCAAAATAAACATGGTAGTAATACAAAAACGGACAAATTTACAAAGCTATATAAATAAGTTAATATTTAAAAATTAGACTGATACAGTCTATATGATCTCTTCAACAGCTGTACATTACAGATCTACAAGGTTTTTTTAAGGGGGGAAAAGAAAGGATGCTTTAAGGCTTCTCTGAGAGTAATTCTTTTGGCTGGGTCATACTCCAACATTTTCTGAATGAGGTCAAACAGAAGCTCATGTTCAGCATCCTTAGAAAGCATAAATTCCTGAAAGGAAGAGAGAAACATATTCAACAGCCTTGTTTACTATCATTTATTATAATTTTATTTCTCCACCATAAAAGCAGAGTGGAAATCCGTTTTTCACCATTTAAGCAATGTCCTAGACTTACCTTCAGAGGTTTACAGCGCCTTGAAACATATCTGCCAGCAGAACTGTGTTCATCCCAGTCTAATCGATCATGATGGAAATATTTACGTTTCCTAAAAATAGTCAATAACCGTTCATGTTTATGTTGATACTGAAAACTTAAACACCTTAAAAAGGTGATTGGTTTCAATTATTATATTGCTAAACGTCTAAATTCAATGCAGCCACATAAAAATCTGTCTTATTTTACACACGAAGAGGCTAGGTACTGTTAAGATTTTCTTAAAAGCACCAAGCTGTTGCCTTCAAACATCTGATCCTTATTTGTAAACCATAAATCCTCATACAGTTATATATATTCTTAGGGGAAAAAAAAAACAGTCCAGGAGATACCACATCAAAACATTAAAGCTGTGATGAAAGCTAAATTCCACTGATGGAATTTTCTCTTTATACTTTTTGTAAGAACAAAATTTTTATAAGAGCAAATACACTGAAAACAAACATGCTAAGTTTCTAAGAATTATGCTCACGTTAGTAAAATTAGGGCTATAGGGTACTTAACACAAAATTTCTCTAAATGCTTTTATAGATTTAAGTTTAGGCAGTAGCCTAAAGATAGATGATATAACGTAATAATAGTAATAATCTAGCTATCCCCAAGGTAACCTGAAATTTAACTAAAAAAGCAAGTCTGGCCTCACTCTTTTACCAACTTCTCATCAGAACACATGACCAAGTGGTACTAAGGATAGTACTAACTTAAATAAAACATACCTGGTTTTCTGTATCATATGTTTTGGCAAAGGTCCAAGAATTCTTTCCATCATTGCTAAGTGCTCCTTACTGTCATGTGTCTAAAAGAATAAAAACAAACCTCTGTCAACTATCTCCGCCTACACATTGTAGTTTATTCTTATTTAATAGAGCCACTGATTTTCTAGTCCAGAGATGATCAGAAAAAGGAACATGATCACTAAAAAAGGCATACTTTTTATCAGTTACAGCTGATAGCAAAACACTGTTAAGGCCTACAGAGCAAACTCCGGGGATGATTTACGTACAGAGACAGGGATATTGCCTATAATAAAATTTTTTTCAAGTGAAATCCAAAAACAATATATAAAACAATAAATTATGAAGGGAATACCAACGGCCAAGGGTGCTGAAATTGGATAGTTTTTCTTTATGCTTATCTAAAATTAACATAGTCCATAACCAGGAACAAAAAAGCTACCTAAGTGTAGTAACTATATACCTAAAGTAAAAGTATTCATTTATATACACAAAGCACTTTTTTGGGGAAAAGCCACTAAAACAGATCATTGTCACTTACTGGAAATACTGTAAACCCAAGGTAGTATTCAATCAGAATACATCCTATACTCCAGACATCACATGGCTGGGACCATCCTAGGGCTGCAAAACAAAGTGTTAGAAGAAAAACGCATCCTCAGTATTTTTTTTAAATATGTATATAATTTGATATTGGACCTGCAAAGATCCTAAAGGAAGCACTTAATTTAAGGATAAACGCAATTATGTATAGTGTATAGACAGAGAGTGCTAGAACTCTGGAGACCCATACTGTTTCAAGTCCCAACTCTGACTTGCTCTTAGGGGTTCAGTAATTTTTTTTTTTGGGGGGGGGGGTGTGGAGGGGTCTCTCAGCCTCATCTCCTAAGTGGTTAAAATAGGAACTAATCTCATGCAAGGACTGAGCAGACACGAGAAGGGTTTAGCATATAGTAGGCATTAAATAATCATGTTTTTAAACCCCACTATATACTACAAACATGCAAACTGAATTCCAGAAAGTTAAGCCAATCGGTTCAAGTGATAAGCTACTTGCTCTAAGTGACTTTGGAATTTTTGGATCAATCAAAGAGCTTAAAATCCTTTAATGTGTTTTCCTCTTACTGGGGAAAGGGGAAAAAATACAAGTTCCACAAAGAGTATGACCTAAAACTATAAATTTTAAATCAACTTCAATCAAAACATATACACTGTTTCCAGCTAAGTTTAGAAAATATTTTTTATACCCTCATTTTACATATCATTGCAACCATTAAGCTAATTGTTATAGGTTCCCAAAACACGATAAATAACTACAAACCTAAAATAACTTCAGGAGCTCTGTAATGTCTTGTAGATACCAATGTACTATGATGTTCATCATCATACGTTGCACTTCCAAAGTCCACAACTTTAATATCTGGATTTATTAAGGTGTGCTCGTCACGTTTCTGAAAATCATAAATAATAATTAAGAAAGCAAATAAGAGAAAAAAACATGAAACCATAAAGACAATACATTACTTACCATTTTGGTGTTATACACCTCTATGTAGTCTGACTGTACAAATAAGATGTTTTCAGGTTTTAAGTCTGTGTGAGTCAACTTATTACTGTGTAAAACTGAGAATGAAACAGAAATTTAAAAATGTTGCTGCAGTCTGAAAATCAAAAACAAAGATAAAACATAACTCCAAAACCCTACAATAAAATGACTTCTGATGCCTTTTCCACATGCTCCAAGTAGTCAACATTTTCCTTCAGCCAGCTAGAAAGTCTCCCATTACCCTCTTTAAAAAGTTACTAAGTTTACTAACAGCTAACTGCTTACAAAGCAAAGGACAAAAAATCTTCCTTTTATGAAGCTAAGATTCACCATTCCTTAGTTTTTACTCAGTGTTCTAGATTCTTATTTTTAGGAAATCAGGAAGACTAAATCATAATCTTCAAAATGATTGTGTGTTATTATACTCTAGATAGTATACTATTTACTGAAGTACACAGTACTGACTAAAAGAGCTCATAACCAACTCAATCTTTTCACACCTACTCTTAAGTCAGCCCTACAAGTCCTGTATGTTAGGTCTTACGTTCTTTTTCTCCAACAGCCTAATCAGTCTGATATTAAAACCAGTCTTAAGAAAGTTTCTGAAAAGATATACAAAGTACTTACAATTTACAGACTTGCATATCTGATATGCCATCTTTCTGATATGATCCAGTCGAAATGGTAGAAAACCATTTTCCTTAATGAAATCATAGGTACTAAGTCCCAGCAATTCAAACACAATACAAATATGTCCATGATGTTCAAACCATTCCAACATTTGGACACAGCGGCTACAAACACATGAAAAATAATCTGAGTACAGCTTTTCACAATTCAAAACTACCTGAAGTGGTTTTCCAAGTTCTAATCTGATACTTACAACGTACTGTTGGGGTCTGTTGTATTTAAGTGTTCCAGAACCTGTATTTCTGAGCGAGCAGCTTCACAGTATCTGTCTACATTTTTTACTATTTTTACTGCTACATGTCTACCTCCCCTGTTAAGACAGAGTAAGTTAAAAAAAGATAAAGATTATTACCAATTCCATTTTTCTATCACCTTCTTCAAGCATTTGCATTATTTCTACTCTGACCCATCTTATTTGTTTTCTTGAATTTATGGCTTAGCATTCTATTTTCTCCAACTATATATAAGTTTTCTCTTCCAACTGGAACTCAACGTAAACAACTAGAATGACCCTCGAGCATATGGTAGGGTTAGTAATGCAAATACATACATGTTGAATGACACAGATTTCTTTCATCAGACCACCACTCATGTGAGATTTTTTTGGGGGCCCTTCATTTATAACAAACTATGTATCAAGAGTTCTAAATTTAACAACTATACTGGGATACCTACCACCCCTCAATTTGCGTCTCAACTTAAAAGAGATGTTTGTAAAGCAGTTTCTTCCTATAGAACCTGTCACCAGCAAATATCTCAAATCTCCCTTTGATCTAGGTTGCCAGAAAAGTTGGGATAAAGCGGGGGCATACTAAACAGCTCTAGTTCTCAGAACCTTACCAGCCAATAGTGTGAGAGCACCTCTAATAATTCATTTTTAAAAAACTGACATTCAGAAGGGGGGGGGGGATCAAACATGAAACCGAAAAGGTAAAGAAAACATTTCTTCTTCAACTATCTTAAGCAATTTCAATCAGTAGTTTGATGAGCATAAATAATCAAACTTGTGGCACTGATCAGAAGAGTTCTCAGTTCTAGCTCTATACCACGATGAATTATGGCACTTTCTATACAAAGGGTCAATAACTATTAATGGAGATTTCCTATATCCAAGTATTCTAACTCAGGATGAGACCATATTCTAAAGCTAATAAATTTTCTATATTGTCAACCCCCGCAGTGTAAGCCCAAGACAGGAAACTTACGCTTTATGATCGACGCACTCCACTACTTTTCCAAAAGCTCCTTCACCTAAAGTATCAACAATTTCATCTAAAAGAGAGAAATAAACCTCAGTCATATCAAGAAATAGAAACATTTTACTTATTATAATAAATGCTATCAATGCAGATTATTCTAGTTGATGCTATAAATTTCCTATCACTAGATATTTATTTTATTGGTCAATATCATCAAAAAAACATAAAATTATTTTAGTCTAATTTCATTCTCTGGCTAATGTCATTAACTTGATTTACTGTTCTCAATGTTCTGTATAACAAACATTAAATTTCTAAAGAAAGCAAAACACAATCCCCCCCCCCACCAAAAGAAATGAAGGGGAAAAAAAGAAAAAAAGAAAAAGAAAAAAAAAAAGGGAGGAAAACAAAGATTTCCAAATCCCTGCAATCTTAATCTACACATAGATTATGTTATCTGAAAAGTGAGTAAGTGTTGAAAAATATTCTATACATCTTGCACTTAGTACGTCTCCACTCTGACAGATCAGGTGACCCTCCTCATCATCCTCTACACTCCTGGGTCTTTTCCTTCGGTGACTCTTCTGGAAACGTCAAGTGGGCGGCACCAAGATCATCCAGCCAATCAATATACCCGAGTGAATTCAGGGCAGAATACGAAATTCATTCAGCGGGGAGATATTCAGGCATTCAGATACACGCCAGGCCACAAACGGTTGGCAGGAGCAATTTCAAATTCAGTCCCCAGAAATTCACAGGGCACATAGTTTATGTTAACAGGAGAAAAACATGGCAAGGAACAGATTTTCAGATAAGATACTCAAAGTGGCAAGGCAATAAAACATAATACAATTGTTTTTCTTAAAAAAAAAAAAAAAAAATGCTTAGTTGTAGCATTCACTGATACATAATTTTAAGTTTCTAGTGTCCTAATTTAATGTTTCAAAACTGTAGGAGGTAATATTTACTTGTCAAAGTAGACTGTGGCCAAATTAAGATTTCCTAGCTAATCTAAGAAAATGAATATTGGAACAGTAAATAAAATTAAAATTCTAGTTTTTTGGGGAAAAATATTTGGCATACAAGAATAACACTATGGCATTTTAAATGTCATATAAGTTAATCTCCAAATTAACACATAACATTAAAATCTGTTGCTTAGTGAAAAAAAGATTAGAGAGCATGCTTTGCTAGAACAGAGGCATATCTAAACAGCAATTATACAAAAATGTAACACCTGTCCTCTTTTTGTGATAAGGCTTCCACTTATGAAAAACAGATTTCTTGAAACATCATAAAAAATCTTTTGGAATATTTTGAAATAATTTTTTACTAACTAGCCTAAGTAATTTCACTGCTATTCACTACTTCACTGATAATTAGCAGCCAACTAGTAATAAAATGTATTACAGAAATATGTACTATACTTCAAGAATCTCCTATCCAAAACACAAACGCAGAAAGAATCCTGCAAGTTAAAACTGAGTTGACTTCATCTTAAACAGAACTTTCTCAAACAGTCAAACAATTCAATCTTCCTGCTCCACATGGGAAATAAAACTTCCAGAAGTGTTTTAAAAGAGCTCATACCCCATGTGAACGATGATGTGAGGTACTGTGGTGAATCCTGTGTTTGCTTTTATAACTACTTCTTCCACTTCTACCAGAAGACTTGCTACTATGGTTCTGGTATCTGCTTTCATGATCTCTATGGCGATGTCCAGGTTCACATCCTTGATTGTAGTCATTTCTGTATTCGTCAATGTAGCGACGACTATGATAATCTTTCTCATTTATAGATCTGCTTTCCAAATAATGGCTAGAGAAATTTTTAAAAATTGTTTTCAATGCTTTATAACTACCAAATATTCTCAAATTCTCAGTAAATCCCTTAAGACAGTACTCTTAATATCTCTCATTGGAAACAAGAAAGAACGGTAATCATGGTTACTTATTTCATAAGTGATTAAAGTTTTAATCATGAAAATATTTACACATCAAAACATTTTCTTTAAATACCCTCCTTACCTATCAGATGTTTTAGAGTGATTATATTTGCAGCGCTTGTTTTCCCGAGCACTGCTATGTGATCTCTTCCGTCTTTTATAACTGCTGCTGCTCCTCCACTTCCCACAATCCCAATCTTTTTCATCCCAATCAGGACAATAAGTTCTCCTTGAGTGTCTCATCTACATAAAAGAAAAGTTTTTTCCCAGTTAAACTGTTTCCCACGTCAACATCGAGTTGTTTAATAAAACTCTTCGCAAATTCACCCTAGTTGTGACCTTTCAAGTCAAAGTTAAAAAGTCATTATTACTTAATCTAAAAATCACAGATAAACCCAGCAAGTGCAGTGTCCCATATGCTAGGCTTGACTCATACAGACTCTGCATTATCGACTTCACACCTTGGATTAAACAGATTTATGTCAAGAGTGTAGGAAAAGAAAAAAATAAAAAATGAGAGGGAGAAAATCCCAATCTATCAATTTTGGTAAAATCTTACTCCTACTCTGCCAGTAACACAAATGAATTATAGAATCAGGTATATAATTCTCCCCATTTAAATGTCTATCAAAAAATAGCCTCCAACTCAAAGCAATCATAATGTCCCTCCCATCACTAGATTACTCTAATTATATTTACCATACACACAGATCACCATTACTGAATCTTTCTGTAAAGGAGTAAACCACTCAACCTACCAAAGACTTCTGTTATACACATAAGTCAATGATGGCACCAGAGAACAAAAACTACAAAACACCCTTTTTCAAGTATCACTTCCCAGCCTATACAATAACAAAACTTATCCTAAAAGCAATCTTAACACATTAATTTGGCGGTAGGAGAACGGAGCCACCTTCCTTTCAGAATTGTTTTTAATAAGACTTGAAAATTTAAAAAGAAATTAAGATTGTCACCATATACGTCACTTGTTTCCCAATGTAATTCTAAACTATATAAAATTTGAGAAAATTCAATTTTGAGAACTCTTTATTACTTTAATTACAATCATTCTCTAACAATTAGAAAAAGACATTACACCTACTCCTCACTTATTGACTATCTTGTTACCTGACATTTTGCATTTACAATAACAGTAAAAAACCTACTATCCAACTGTTTTGTGTGTTAACAAGCTGTATCTGGCAATAACGAACGTTGAGGTGCGAGGCGAGAGTAATGCTAACGCTGGCCGTGATGGTTAAGGCTATATGTCAACCTGGCTGGGACATGATTCTCAGCGGTCTGGCAGTTATGTAACAACGTAGTCATCCTCCATTTTCAAGTTAACACTGATTTTTGCATAGGTCTTGGGAACCTAACCATGTTGATAAGTCAGCAGGGGGTATATACAGAAATGACTTTTCAGGAACTACCATTCTTACCAGTACTAACTGCCTGAACCCACCACATCTCTACAAACAACTCTCAATCAAAATGCCATCCTCTCAATGAAAAACAGTTTGGGTCTTCCTCTAAAAGTTAAACACATAATTACCCTATGACCCAAAACAAAAAGAAAACAAAAATTCTCACAATTGGGCCAATAAGTAACATAATAAATGGAGAAAATACTGAAGATGTCAAGGATTTCATGCTACGTGGGTCCACAACCAACGCCCAAGGAAGCAATAGTCAAGAAATCAAACCGCAAATCTGCTGCAAAAAACCTCTTTAAAGTGTTCAAAAGCAAAGGTATCACTTTGAGGACTAAGGTGCGTCTGTCCCAAGCCATGGTATTTTCAATCACCTCGTATACATGCAAAAGCTGGACAACGAATAAGGAAGACCAAAGAAGAACTGATGGCTTTAAATTATGGTGCTGGTGAAGAATATTGAATATACAATGGAGTGGCAGAAGAACAAACAAATCTGTCTTGGAAGAAGTACAGCCAGAATGCTGAGGAATGAGGATGGTGAGACTTCATCTCACATACTCAGGGCATGTTATCAGTGATGGAAATCAGTCCCTGGAGCAGGACATCATGCTTGGTAGAGGGTCAGCAAAAGAGAGGAAGGCCCTCAATGAGATGGACTGACAGTGTCTGTGATGACAGGCTCGAGCACAGCAATGATTGTGAGGATGGCACAGGACCCAGCAGCATTTTGTTCTGTTGTGCACAGGGTCACTTTGAGTCCGAACTGACTCAATGGCACATAACAACAACATGACCCAAAAGAATGAAAGCAGGATCTCAAACAAAGCAGTCCTCACTAGTGTTCACTGCAGCATTATTCACAACAGGCAAAAGGTGGAAACAACCCAAGTGTCCATCAACAGAAGAATGGATAAACAAAAAATGTGGTATATACACACGATGGAGTATAATTCAACCATAAACAAAAATAAGAGTTCTGATACGCGCTATGACATGGATGAACCTTGAAAACATGCTCGGTGGAATAAGTCAGACACAAAAGGGCAAACACTGTATGAACCCACTTACATGAAATACCGGTCAGCAGGCCAGTGCTTAACCACTGCAACACCACAGGGCTCTCTGGGGAGGGGGTAACAGGGGAGTTACTGCTTAAGGGGTACTGAGTTTCTGTTAAGGGTGAAGAACAAGTTTAGAAATGCATAGTAAAGACGGCTGAACACTAACATCACTGAATTGCTCACGTAAAAATGGTTAAAACGGCAAATTGTTGTTATATATATTTCACCCACACACAAAAAGCATGGTGAGCAGTCGGACAACATGACACTATCTGTCACCATTATATGATATATATAGGGTACGCAGAAGCCCCTAATCACGAGGAAAGAAATTAGCTAAATTCAGGTTGAGAAACATTCTACAAACCTACTATCTGAGCTCTTCAAAGTCATTGCCCTGACAGAAATTACAGGATTGTCTTTTAAGATTTTAAAGAGAAAAAGCGATACATTTGTTGAATTTTTTGTTCTAAGAGAAAACTGAGAGTTTCTATAAATGTTTTAAAATTTAATGTGAAACATAAAAATACCTAAAAATAAAAACAAAAATGCTCCCTCCATTGTCATTCCAAGAGAATTGCGGAGAGAGTTGTACAACGCATAAAATGCTTGAACGCCTGATTTCTCCCACACAGCTCCTTCAAATATACATTATCTTTTTCTTGGGTTCCTAAACCTGATTTTGTTCCCACGGAGGGCAAAAATACTCGCGATTTTCACTGCAATCCTTAGAGACGCAACTAGGCGTTAAGTGAAATCTCTTTACAGCAGGTCAACGTGTTCAGTCTTTCTCTCCATTTCCGACCAAACACACTTCTGCACAAGAGCTTGACTTATGCACATTCCAGAACGTAAGTAAACGCCCTCCACAACAGGAAGCTTCCCTTTTCTGTGAGATGGCGAAATCCTGCCTCCACCCCGCCGCCATTTTACAGCTCGGCCAAGGCGGCCGCAGACGACGCGGCAGACAACATGGCGCTCGCGGCGCCTCGGGCCGGCCGCTGCTCGAGTGCCGGGCCTGGCCCTCCCCCACCGCTCAGGAAGCCCTGCTCCCTCTGAGCACGGCAAACAATTCGAGGGACCCTCGTCATCTAGCAAAAACTATCATTACCCCCTGGCAGTTGTCTGGGGAATCGCGGTTCCAGGATAAACTGGCGGCGAGAGGCTCAGCAAAGCAGGGAAGAGGAGCGCGCTACCTTTGTGCAGCCCGGGGAAGGGCGGGGAAATCATCGTACCGGAGACTGCTGGCGCAAACTAGCAAGAAAGAAGGGGCAGCGCTTTTGAGGCACAGAAGAAGGACCCTGACACCTAGTCCGCTTCTCCAGCTTCTTACCGTCCTGGCCAAAGAATCCAAACCTACGGAGACAAAGCTTGCAACGCGATCACGAAAAACACCCAGCTGACAACGACGGGCTCAGACCACAAAATGGAGCTGACGGTCGCGGCGTCTGGAGTGTTCTTCAAAACAATCGTGACGCTGCGCGTGCGTCTTCTTGGGGGCAGGGGTGGAGAGGAGGGCGGTGCGTGCAGCGCGTGCACGTGAAGCGAGGGGGGCGCGTGACCGCCGGGTGCGCAGGCGCCCAATTGGCGAACGAGCGGAGGTAGAGGAAGGGATGCTAATGGCGGCCGTGTTAGGTGCGGTCTCCTTTCATATTACGGTAGAGCGCTGCGCGTATTGGAGAGAACAATCTTGTTCCACGCTTATTAAACATTTTATTTATGAACGTTAGAAACAAGGAAAAGTGAGGAAAGTAGGATACAAATAGTACGCACCCTCATTGTAATTATTAAAAAAACTTCACGAGTTACACCACCTGCATCAAATAGTCTCAGATTAGTAATTGGATTTGGGCTTTTGCTAAAGTCTGAGACCTATATAAAACTAAGTCTGATGTTTGGGGCCCACGCGCACTGAAACTGGATTGGAAAGATGTCTCAAAGGTTTTAAAAGTTGAGAAATGAGTGAGCAAGAAAGTGAGCACCATCTATAGAAAATGGAGACTCGTCGCATTCAAGAAATATTTTGGCATTGAGTGATGTTTCTGCAGCATTAAGGCCAAGTGAATTGAAAAGGATGAAATGGAAGGTCGTGGAAAAGACTGTCAGGAAACAAGCTCTGAACGACAATAATCTTCAAACTACAATTTGGTATAACAAAGTAATTACCCAGTCCCCCCCCGCCCCGCCCCAGCGCATTGTCACTGCAAAAAAAATCGTTATTTAAATCAGTCCAAATTTAGTGGAAAATAATAAGATTGTTATCATATGTTACAACGAAGTACAGTAATTTTACTGATCTGGTTCATAAACTCAAGGATTAAAACGCACATTTAAGCAGAGAGCATGGTAGATAGGGCAAAATTCTGATGAGGAATACACATTCTTAAAATCCCTATGGTTGTTTGCGTTTCTTAATCCCCTTCTCTTTATGGATGTGAAAGTGCTTTAGAACCATGAATACCTAAATCCTTAGATCACGACCAAGATCACTAAATAGGAAAAAATGTGCAGAGGGATAAATTCACAGTAGCTTGTGAAATTTATCTATAGCCCTTCAGGATAGATGTAGCAGCACAAATGTTAATTAATCTAGGGATTCACAATCTTTGGAAGAAAATAGCTAATCACAGTAGGTTATTGTGCCAGACACCGTACATATGTTCTCGGTTAATCCTAACAACAGTCTACAAGATGGGGATCACTATTTTTTTTGCTATTACAGATAAAGTTGCAGTGAATAACTGCAGAGAGCAATGTAGTGTATTTAAAACAATTTCTTTAGGGAAAATACCAAAGTAAAATTACAAGGTCAAAGACTGAACATTGAGAAACCTTAGTCATATTGCCAAACTTACTTTCCAAAATGGGTTTTAATTTAGCAAAATCCCAAATCCACCTAATTACAAATTTGGAAATATCCGAATTTTTATTTCTAAAAATAACTATTTCAGTGCATCATTCCGTGAAAACAATTTGTAAGTTTATTTTCTAATTAGTGAAGTTAAACATTGTCTTAATTTCTTGGTACTGCTGTAACAAATAGGACAACTGGGTGACTTTAAAGAACAGAAATTTATTTTCCCACAGTTCTGGAGGCTAAATGTCTGATTAGTGTCTCACCTGTGTCAGTTCCTTCCCTGAGGTAGTCAGGGTATTCCTTGGTTCACGCGGCATCTGTCTTCCCCAGTGTGTAGGTATTTCTGTGTCTAATCTGCTCTTTTTATAACCCAGAAGTGATTAGATTTAGAACTCATCCCCCTCCCCCTGCCTAATTAACATAAAAAAGTAAACACTGTTTCCAAACAAGATTACATCCTCAGGTATAAAACCCAAAACCAAACCCACTGCTGTTGAGTCAATTCCAACTCAAAGCGACCCTACAGGGCAGAGTAGAACTTCTAGGGTTTCCAAGGCTGTAGATCTTTACAGAAGCAGACCGCCACATCTTTCTCCGGGAGAGGCTGGTGGGTTCAAACTGCTGACCTTTTGGTTAGTAGTCAAGCGATTTAACCACCGCACCACCAGGGCTGCTTTCCACAGGTATAGGGGGTTAGGATTCCAACACGTATTTTTGGGATGCAATTTAATCCATAACATTTTTCTTTTTCCCTTTCGTGACTTGCCTATTCATACCCCATTGCTCTTTTGAATGTATGGTTCCTCTTGCTTGTACTTTTTTTTTTAATTGCAAAAAAGTTTTAAATTTTCATGTACTTAAACCTGTTCCATCTTTTGTGGTATTTGTAAGTTGAGAAATTCCTTTTCTCTTTAGAGGTTTGATACCAATTCTTTGAAATATTTTAAGTTCTTCCTGTGTTTTCTTTATAAAAGCAACTCTTTTATCCATCTGGAATTTTGCAGTATGATGTGCAGTGAAATTCTTTTGCTATTTTTCCCCATATGGTTTACCAGTTGTCCTAACACAATTTATGAAATCATCCTTCCCATTCTTAATGATTTTGGCTACTGCTTTAATGATTAAACTCATATATACACTACTACTTATTGACACTCTTACACTATTACTCTAACCTATCCCCACACCACCACAGTTTTAACATTTGTAGCTTCATAAAGTTTGGGGCTATTCCTATTTCCTTGTAATTTATTTTTTAAAATTTCTGTTATTATTTATTCTAGATTAGTTTTAGAATTATTGTATCAAGTTCCCACCATCACTACCTCTACCACAATTGATACAAATTGAATTTAATTGAAAAGAACTATCATTTTTTCCCCAATTCACTAGTGAAATATTAACTAACATATTCATTTTGCTAAACTGATTAAAAATTGAGCCCGGTGTGTTAAAATTTCTGTTCACATGTCTGTTAGCTCCTGAGACTGAGCTCCTCCAGGGTAGGTGGTGCCCTATGCACCTCATTTTTAACAAGATTCAGTTGTTCCAACAAAATGTAGTTAAGAATAGAATGTCTTCGGAAATGCCCAACATAGATTATCAATGTGTTGTTAAATGTATTTGGGAAAGATGTTAACTGTAACCATTCAGTTTAACTGAAAGGTCTGCAAGCTTTTTACTCAAAGAGTTCTAAACCAATTTATTGGGCTATCCATTCCACCAAGATTGAACAGGACTTAAGTATTCCAGTGGTAGTGATATGTGCAGGTACAGTTCTAGCATGGTAAAAGCAGTATGAGGCATAGTTTGATTATACTATCCCTTAAGTTCATCCAGCTCCCTTGCTATGAAACCATGCTTATCCGGAAACTTCTGTCAGTCTAAATCAAAAGTTGAGAAACTTTTTCTTAAAGACCTAGATAGTACATATTTTAGGCCTGCAGGCCATACAGTCTCTGTCACAACTACTCAACTATGCTGTTGTATTGAAAAGCAGTCAGACAACAAATAGGCTTGGCTGAGATCCAATAAAACTTTATTTACAAAAGCAGATGACCAGCCTGAGGGCCATAGTTTGCCAACTCCTAGTCTAGATGGGGAACCATATTACTTTCTTTATAAAAAGGAGAATATGGGCTGATCAGCAATATTCTAGTCTTCTTAGTAGTTATACTGCCAGTTAATACATGGAACAGAATGTCAGTCACCCAGTTGTGGTATGATCAGTGTGAACCAGTCAACTAAGTGTGAATGGACAGAAATCAATGTTGTGGGCCCTAATCCACATGGTACCTGCATTAGGCTCAAAGTGGACAGCCATTATGCCCCATCTGTGAAATACTTATGGTTATAACTGAGCATACATTGTAAGAATGAGCTCTAAGTACCAAAATGTCACCATTTAAAAAAAAAAAGGCAACATTTAGAATAAAAATTGGGGGGATGCCAGTAAATTAAAGAAACATTCTGACAATCAGTAAAAGTTCCTCAAGAGTGACCACAAAGAATTCAATGACATGTTTAGGGAAGAAAGATATCAGATATAAGAAGTGGCAATATGAACTCTGGCCAAAAAGAGGCTTTAATGCTAATTCTGGAATCCTAAAAGATTAAAGGGTGAAGCAAAATGTGAGGGCATTGGTATAACTGGCATCTCAGTGTAGTGGAAAGTGTAGATGGTAACAAGAGGATAGCTGCAAGCCAACTCCCGTGCTGTAGCTAAGAAAAAATCACATTAATTTAGACCAGCCATTTGCAGAAATAAAAGAAACCAAGAAATAAAATGTTTGGTATAAATTTTAGGAATGCCCCAGATCTAAGTTGATCCAGGCAGTGAATGGAACATAATCCTTGATGAAATCAATGGTACAGTCTGATAAATGGCTTAACTGGGTGGAGATGAGTATGTCAGGAGAGCACTTTCTATTTACAGACCACTTATTACATGCCAGAAGCTTTATACACATTACTTCATTTAATCCTCACAATAGTCTTGGTAGGAAATATTATTTATGGATGAAAAAACTAAAGCTTAGAGATGTTAACTTGGCTAACATCATACAGTAAGGGGTACAGCTGTGATTCAAATACAGACCAGGACTCCACAATTGGTGCTCTTAACCAACTCATAGATTTTTTAGTGGATATTCTACAGAACTCTATTTTGCAATATTTTAAAAGATATGCTGTAAAAAATGTTCCATGGGCAAATCATTTGGGAAATACTAAGTGTTTACTGTACTCCAGGACTTCTTAGAGTCTTTACCATACATCTAAAGACAAGAGGAGTCCTGGTGGTAAAGTGGTTAAAGCACTCGGCTGCTAACCAAAAGGCTGGCAGTTCAAACCCACCAGGAGAAAGATGTGGCAGTCTGCTTCCATAAAGGTTTAAAGCCTTGGAAACCCCATGGGGGCACTTCTACTCTCTTCTATAGGGTCGCTATGAATCAGAATCGTCTTGGTGGCAGTGGGTTTTGGAAAAGACCAGAGAAAATAGCATGTGGATTGGCTAGCCTTTCTAGACCATCTCTTTATCTTGTTCCTCCTCTAACTGCACAGGGTGAATAACTAATGGAAAATAATACTTCCAGAATATGGACTAGATACGGTAGGAGTATGCAATTAGGGTGCTCAAAAATGCCTCGGTTTAATGAAGAGGCTCAGCATTTAAAAATATATGTTTATTTATAACAAAAATTAAAACAAGTTTTTTAATATTAAAATTAAACAAATTGGATAACAATTGTAGTAAAGAATATGCTCATAAGAGTAAGGGTAAAAGCTGTTTATCTCCCCTTGGAATCACCACCTCATAGAAGCTCTTAGCTGTAAACAAGCAGAAGGATGATGCAATCGCTGACACAAATAGAACTGGGTAAACCACAATAGGTGTGTTCCCGGAACAGCTTGCCAAGTATTTGCCCAGGTCTATTATAGCTACTGAGCAAATGGGTTGGCATGAATAGTTATGTCCTTAATGTGTACATCATTAAGAGGTCGATATGTCTTCTCATTTACTGGTAACTTCTCCAGTTCATCTAGGGTCTCCAGACCATCTATTACCCTGAAAGAGAAACAATATAATATGTGAAAATTTCCTCAGATTAAAACACAATATTGAAATATCTATAGCAATTATAGCCTACTTAAGAGAAAAGGATCATGTCTTAAGTTCTTTGAATTCCCTGCTTGAGTGTACAAGATATTTATCGGTTTGATTTTCTACCATAGGTATGGGTCAAAATTCAGAAATAAAAATTCACTTTTATATTCTTAGACAACAATAGCAGTGGGTAAGGATATTCCCATCAAAGTAACTACACACTATATTCTGCCCCATTCACACAGACACACAGAATAGCTACAAATGGGGCCAATTTAACTTTCTTTGCTGTAGAAAATACCCAGAGAAAGTATGTAGGGAAGATGCTGTTATTGTCAGTATTGCACTACAATGAAGGTCCTGAAGCAGAGGGGCCACTTTACACTTTATTGTTAGGGTACAGTGTTTCTACTTTTTGCTTCTGGAAAAGAACAAGCAATAATAATAAAAATCGAAGACTGTCAGTTAACTCAGCCTCTGATAAGCCCACTTCATGTTTGTATCAGGAAAAAATTATTGAGAGGTATCCTTCAAATATGTGTTCTGGTAAGTTGAGTCTAAAACGTTTGCTAAGAAAACATGGCTTTTCAGATTATACCTCTTAGTGCAAAGCAAAAAAGTTCCCAAGAATTACAGTATCTACTTAAAAAAAAAAAGGTAACAGATTTACATCTCATTTTGCCTTTCCACTAAAATGGTACTTTAAAACAGGATATGGGAAATTATGGATATCAGCAATAATAACTACAATAATTAAAACTTTTTTATTTTACTCCCAAATGCAGGCCAATTAAGGTCTTTAAATTTTAAGTTTTAAAGCCATTTCCACCTTCTGGGTCAGTAAGAGAGAAGATCAGTAAGAGAAACATAGATCTCAGGCAAAAAGGACAGGCAGAACTGAGGCAGGGTCAGTCTAGTCAAGTATCTGCGACATGGGGCCCTTTAAGAACCTGAGGGAAGTTATGGACCATCTCCCCAGAAAAATGTGTGTGCATATACATACAATGTTGCATCCAATTTCAAGGAGTTAATGGAACTGAGGTTAAGAATAACATAAACTCCTTAGTTTTGTCACAAATCCAGTATAAGTCCAGCTAATTATTGATCAATAAGTCGGAATGATGGGTTAAGGGAGAAAAAAGGAAGGAAATCTGGATTATCTAAACACACAGAGATTAACAGATGCTGTAATATTTCATTGATTACTAGTAATCTATAAACTTGACATGTATATGGGATGAAAAAGAAAAGTTGTAGAGTCTTCTATTTTTTATTTTATTCATTTATTTATTCAGAGTCTTCTATTTCTTAACCAACTTAACTATGCAGTCCAAACTATTAAACCAAACAAATTCTAGAACAGTGGCTTGGTGTATTGAGCAAGGTAAATACTGTTGAATGAACAGATGATTTCCCCTGATTTATGAAAGCAACTCCCAGGCAATGGATACTCTGGTAGAGACCACTAAATGTCTCCCTAAGATCCATTCTCTCCTTCTTACTCACAAAAACCTGATTTTATTGAGGGTGGTATTGTGTCCAGCTGAAAAGGTATTTCCTAGCCTCCCTTGTAGATAGGAAGTAGCCACATGATTAAGTTCTGAGTCTTCCAGGAAAGCTGACTAAGCTGGCAAGCACCTTTTATCCTTCCTTCTTTCTGAGTGCCACACAGATGGTTTGATTGGAGCTGTCATGCCCACATTATGACGATGAGGTGAGCTTGAGGATGGAAACAAAAGATGGTTGAGAAGAAAGAGAGAGGTGCCTGGGACACTGCTGACATAATGGAACCACCACAGCGGTCCTGGATACCATGTTGTTTAAGCCATGCCACTGTTTTTCAGATCTGTAAATTGCAACCAAGTACTATTCTTATTGAAAACACATACATTACTGTTAATTTGCATAACAAACCTGAAAAAAATATTGGCCCAATTTTTACAAATAAGGAAACTGAGTCTCAGAGAAGTTACAGCTTTCTTAAGACCACAGGGCTGGTACATGGTGGATTTAAACTCCAGGTACATTTAGCTCTCATACCGCTCTTTGCAATATTAGTTATGCTATTATCACAATCACTCATATGCATTCCTTGCAATGACATTCCAAAGAAGAAAACCACAACCAAAATACTCACTTTCCAAATACTGTGTACTTCATGTCCAAATGTGGCTGCTTGCCATAGGTGATAAAGAACTGAGATCCATTGGTGTTTGGGCCATTATTAGCCATGGATACAACACCTCTAACATTGTGCTGAAAAGGGCAGACCAAGGGATTAATTTAATTGTGTTTATATATAAATATTCCAAACACAGAACTGAAACGACATACTCTTTACCTTCCTAATATTTAAGGGACCAAGAAAATATTTAACCAGCTTCTCTGTATTAGGGCTAATCAGTTTCTGTATTACCTGAATCCCTAAAAACATGTATGTAAATTGTTTATATATCAAATCATATTCCCCAATTTCATTTTCGCTTTGGAGATGTACAGCCACAAGCACTTTTAGCAGTATCAATGTATAACAAATAATCCTTACATTTATATTAAGGAATAGTAGGCTGGCATGAACGGATTAGGCAGACAAAACCACAATCCCCAAGACCACTTCAACATACATTGGACTCTGCTAGTTTCTTTATCTGTAAAACAAGGGAGGTTGTACTAGTTCAGGGGTCTCTTCATAATTCAACTGCTCACAAGGGTCAGACATAATAAACTGATAACTGGGCAGAGTGTAAATAGGGAGTGGTGGAATATGGCAAAATGAATAGTGCGTCTCTTGCCTAATGGCATTTAAAAAAATTTTTTTAACCAATGCATCTGTGGGTCTTTTACTCATGGGCAGTCAGTACATAAACCTAGGACTTGATAATCTAAGAAAAGTCTCATCTAGCTCTAATATTCATGATAGTATTTGTTATACAAGGGACTGTGTATAAGAATTAAAAGGGCCTTACTGATAAAGAAAGCTTGAAGGCATGACCAAGAACCATAGTATAGGAGGCAGGGCCAAGATGGTGTAGTAAGTAGTCAAACGCTTCCTGTGGTCCCTCTTACAACAAAGACCCGAGAAAACAAGTGAATCGATTATATATGACAATCTAGGAGCCCTGAACATCAAAGGCAAAGTTTAGGAATCAGACTGAGTGGCAGGGGGCAGGGAGAAATGGTTTGGAAGCAGTGAGGAGCTGCCAAACCTGACCCAGTGGGAGCAGGCACCCTTCAGGCTGGATTGGCTCGCGTGTGTGGTGAGGCAAGCAGTGGCGCTCAGGAGGCACTTTCCACATCGGGAGAGACCAGCGGCAGAGAGTCTACTCAGGCATCCAGAACCAGTGATAAGCAGCGCTCGATCAGCAAAATGAAAGTACTTGTGTCTGGCCTACTGCAAGGATCAAAAAACAAACCCTTTGGGAAAAACCTTTCTCCCAACTACCTGCCCCCTCCCTGCTCTGTGCCAGGTCTCAGGCCGCTTCAGTGACTGCTGAGTCCCCTGGGCCAGTAGTGGGACCCATCAAGCGCCCTAAGCCATTCTCCTGGCCTTGGAGAGAGAACAAATAAACAGGGAAAAAATAATCTGCCGACTCCCCTAAGACAGGAACTCAGGATAGGCACAGCTCCTTTGCCTAGACACAGGCATAAGGGGTTCACGGACTTTGAATGCCTTTTACCCTTGCATAGACTTGTGTGGGTCCATTTCAACAGCATAGGCCCTCATTACCACAGTACAACAGAGTATATACCTGAAGTCTAATTACAACTGTTTCAACTATTTGGTGAAGTGGCAGGTTCATGACATTTGACACTGCTCTGCCCATTAAGCAGTGTCCTCACGTACTCACGTCAGGGGCCTGAGGACTGGTGGCTCCACCCACGCCACCTAGCCACCTGCGACAGGGGTCCAAGAATAAGTGCCGGTCCCCAGTTCTTACAGCCAACAGCACTGGGTGCTCATATTCCAGCTGCAAAACCCACCCACCTACATGCTCTAGGGAACAGGGACATGCTTTCCTTTCCGACACTCAGGGGCAACTGTCAGCCCCCTGCCTTGCTCAGCACATGACCCGCTACTGCAGCCAGATACCTGTGCCTACAGCAATCACCCATGCCTGTCTAGGACTGTAGGTGAGAGCCTGCACCACACACTTGGTGACCTACTACCTGGATACCTGAGCTGAATTCATACAAGTAAACAGACTCCTGGGCTCACATACGTAGTAACAGCCCTAACCACCTGGTGATAGGACGTTAGAGCTTCAAAGGTGCCACTAATCAAACTAGCTCACACGACCTGCCTATTTGGGCATATCAAAATAAAACAAAGCGAGAAGCTAGAACACGGAAAGCAAACATAAAATAAATAAATACAATAACTTACTGATGGCTCGGAGACAACAGTCAATATCAAATCACATAAAGAGGCAGACCATGATGGCTTCAGCAAGCTCCCAAAATAAAGAACAAAGAAATTTTCTGGAGGAAGAGAATTTCTTGGAATTACTGGAGGTAGAATACAAAATTAATATACAGAACTCTTCCAGACATCAGGATGGAGATGAGGCAAAACACAGAACAAGATAAGGAACACACAGACAAAGCAATAGAGGGTCTTAAGAAGGGCTATTCAAGAGCATACTGACAAATTTAATAGGCTGCAAGAATCCACAGAAAGCAATCAGAAATCCAGAAGATTAACAATAAAATTTTAAATTAGCCAATTCAATAGAAAGTCATAGGAGGAGAACTGAGGCAATAGAAGTCAGAATTAGTAAGACCAAAGGTGAAGTACTTGACACCAACTTACATGAGGAAAAATCAGATAAAAGAATTAAAAAGAATGAAGAAACCCTAAGAATTATGTGGGATTCTATTAAGAGGAATAACCTACGAGTGATTGGAGTACCAGAATGGAAGGGGATAACAGAAAATACAGAGAGAATTGTTGAAGATTTGCTGGCAGAAGACTTCCCTGATATCATGGAAGATAAGAAGATATCTATCCAAGATGCACATCGAACCCCACATAAGGTAGATCTCAAGAGAAAGTCACCAAGACATATTATAATCAAACTTGCCAAAACCAAAGATAAAGAGAGAATTTTAAGAGCGGCTAGGGAGAAACGAAAAGTCATCTACAAAGGAGAGTCAGTAAGACTAAGCTTGGACTACTCAGCAGAAACCATGCAGGCAAGAAGGCAATGGGATGACATAGAAAAGTCTGGAAGGAAAAAAACTGCCAGCCAAGAATTATAT